AATTCGTAAAAAAAAAAAAAAAAAAGCTAATTAAGACATGTGTCCGTCAACCTTAAACAATAATCTTTGTCAATTTTGTTTTTCAGTCTTTATGATGGTCGATACTTGATCTATCTCTTACTGTTACATCCCCGGGCAACGCCGGGCTCTACTGCTAGTAGTGAATAAAAGTTAGCTTTGTACAGCTGCAGTATTATTAATAAAATCAGCATTTCTCATTGTACTAATGGGGGGAACAACTAACACTTTTTCCAGTGAGCTATTAAATTAAAAACAGTGTACTTATCTATGTAGCAGCAATTTTGCCCATCTTGTATTTTGTAAAAGCAAAGACTGACATTTTTGCTTGAAGAAAATTAATACCTTTTTTTTTTTTTTTTTTTTTTTTTTTTATCTTTTATCACATAGTATTGTTTAATAATGTTTTCTGAACTGTAGAGATTTCTCCTTAAGGGTCTTTGTGTCATTAGTTAAGCCTTCTTTCTATTATAAAAAAAAATATAGGCCTATTTCACAAAGATATTTTAGCAAATAACTTGTACTCCAAATTCTTGTTACACTAATTTCAGTAATTTAATGTCAAGTAGTCACTTAAAATTCACTTCATAAATGTTTTAACCCTTTCAAATATTTTTTATACAGAACATTCTTTGCTAATTTAAATTCTGATAGCAATATTTTTTTTCAAATGAAAGATAAAACATGTTTCCTTTAAAGTTTTTCATTATGGTACCTGGGTTAGTGTTCAAACTTATGAAATGCACCACTGTAGCATGCAACTGTCCATTAATCATGACCTACCCTGTACCTACATCCTTTTATTGTATTAACCACATTACCTTCACCTTGTAACTACTTTGTTTCCCTTGTGCTTTTCTCTTTGTATTCAGGTGAAAAATATGGTTGCTTATTTTTTATTTTGAAAATTACATTCATCTAATAAATGTATTCTCCAAAAATTAAGGTATACAGAAGTATACTTGTTAAATGCATTTTTAATGGTGTAGTTGTTAGGTAAAACTTGTCTGAAAAAGAAAAGTCTAAATTTTGTTATGTTGTACATTGTTAAATAGCAATTTATTTAAATTTCAGTGTTACTACTAGTTTTCATATTTTCATAAAGTAATTGCAAACTGATTTAATTTGGTGTGTTGCATTCTAAAAGACAGCATTATTTTAAAGAAAAATGTTTCTAATCAAAATTGACTTTTTGATGACTTTAAATGCTTTTTAGAGGTGGAATTGTCTAATACTCAGCTTAGTTTATGATTTAATATTTAATCTTATTCAATTAAAAAAAATCAATGAAAAATTGGCAAACATACCCACAAAAAAAACTGTTGAAAGTGTGGTTTTTCTTTTGATAATGCTTTGGCAATTTTTATTTTTTTTTAAACCTATTTTTAGAATTTTAATAAAACCCAGACATATGAATTTTTTTTTCTCAAGAATTGACAATAAAAGACACTATTCTTGTAAATAAACAGTCTACTAAATAGTGTTTAACATTTCTGTTGTGATTTCTCAAAACAAAATCCAGATAGTTGCAAACTATTTTAGTGAATTTATAAAAAGAGAAAATGAAAGAAATACCTGGAAAATGCATTTTTTCAAAATTTATAATTAGTTATTCCTCATTATATATTTATTTAAATTTTCTTGTTCAGATATTTTTATAAATTTATGAAAAACAAATTTCATATTTATTTCATCATAATATGATAAATATTGTATTGTAGCTGGTTCACATATTTTTATAAACTTGTAAATATAATATTATTCCTGTAAATAAACAATCTAAATAAAATAGTGTTTACTTTTGCGGTCAATTCTAAAGAAAAAGAATCTATAAAACCAGTTTCTTATATTTAGATTTTACTAAAATTCTAAAAATAGCTTTTTAAAGCAATAATAGTTGCCAAGAGTGTATGCAATAATAGTGGTATCAAGACAAAAACTGTCCTTTTCATACACCATTTGTTTTGTGTTTATGTATGCTAAACTTTGCCAAAAAATTCTGTTCCATTTTGTTTTGTTTTTATAGAAATTTTTATATTGTAAATAATTATACCATATTATTCAACCTGCATACAATTTTTTGCATGATCTTGCTTTCTTTATGACAATATTGATGTATAGCAGAGAATCAAATCCTACAAAAATTTTAATTCTAAAATTGAATTAAACCACTTTAGATTTGGTAACACATTTTAAACTGAGAACACAAACTTTGTATTTAATGTGGATTTTGATTTTTCTGTATCAATTTTAGTTCAACTAATTTTAGATTAGAAATTTTTGCTGCTTGTTCTGCTTTTATGATAATGTTTAACACAGAATTTATATATTAGTGTTTGCATAAATTTATAAGCTTTCTTTTATTTCAAGCTTTGTAGAAATTTTTCTTTAAAATTTTTATAATTGTCATTAATATTACGTGTTATAACCAGTATAAACAAAGAAATATTTTTTTTACCAAATATTACTTTGTATTAAGGTACAATATGTACATCTCAGAATATGCATTAGTACCCCATAGTCACTGCAGTCATTCTTAATAACTTTATAAATAATATATGTGGACTGAAATTCAAAAGAGACTGAAAGTATTTAGTTTTATGATAATAATTCACAGTATCTTAACAAAAATAGTTAAAATAAGTCGGTCTATAATTGCTGTATATTATCAAAACCTTCCATTACTTGTGATCCTGAATAAAATGTTATATGAATGTAACTAGAAATTACTTCAGGATGCCAAGCAATTTTTGTTTTTATACAAACTTAGATAATTATTTGAAGTAAATGACATTGTTAATTCATCCATTTGCTTTCTGATGATTTTACTCATCACTAAAATATGTAAAATGTTTTTATTTTACAGAATAAAGTAAAATGTTCTTTCAAGACTTAAGCTAGATAACCAGCCATAATGTAAACATTTCTACTTTAAAAATAAAAAAATTTCAAATTAAATTTAATCTTTGTTTCTCAAAGTATAATTGGGATGTATATTGTAGGTAATAGACATCATTTTTAAAATAAAATTTCTGTTTAATGATTTTATTAGCTCTGCTTTCAGTCATTTATATTTCACAACTTGTGTACCTTGGAGTTCATCCTTAATGGTTTATTTCCAAGTTTTTAGTTTGTTTCAAAATATTCATTATAAAATAAATGAATTCATTGACAAAAATTCCAACTCTACTAAAACTTAAATCTTACAAAAATAAACATATAGCACTTAGTGATATTCAAGGAACTTTACAAATGAAATGCCTCTTTAAAAAATTGATAGAAAATTAGCTAATTTGTTTTCTGGTGGATTGATGTAAAAAAAAAAATGTATGAAGATTTTAGCAGGATACAAGAAATACTAAGTAATTTGATTTATGAATAGATTGATCAGTTTGTTCAAATTCCAATAAACTTTCGATGGCATCTTGTATAAACTTATCTATGTTGGTGATTTCATCAATTGTAAATGTACAAAATTTCATTATCAGTTAAAGAAAATATGCCATGTTCAAAGTCATGTCTTTTAAAGATTTTCTTCTAGCTTAGCTTAAGAATGTCATCAAACTCTGTGAGCAATTGCTTATACACTTTTATTTCCTCTTTTTCTTAAAATTGGTAAATGGGCAGTTTTTGTAATTTTTTTCTACTTGTATAAGAGTTACCATCATTCATGATTGGATTCAAATAACAGTTTATTGTCATTACTGCTAAGTATTAAGGGAGTGCTGAAAAGTTATGTCTGACCTAGAATCTTTTCCCCACCAAAACTGTCTGATATTTGGTCATTTGATCAAATTTTGGAACATGGATCAAGTCAAACTTTTCAGCTCTCCTTTTGTAGTTTTTTTTTTTTTAATTTTTTTTATTTTTATATATACATTTTGTTGGAGCCAAGTATACCTGGAAATAATTGAAACTAATGCTTCACTACTAACTATTGATCTGTTGTTTTTTTGTATGTAAATATAAAGTTGCTTTTGATTGCCACTTGATTATCAGTGCTTCTCATATTTTTTATTAGTTTTTATTCTTAATAAATTAGAATGTTACTGAATATGACAGATGCCTGAAGAATGCTAGATTGTATAATGGCCAAAACATTATAAGAAACTATAAGAATCAAGACAGTAACACTAGATAAATAGATCTGTGAATAATAATTACAATTCCTCATATCAAAAATTCAAACTGAATAATAGTTTAATGGTGAGAAAATTATAAAGAAGGTAAATTTTTTGTAAATGGTATTAACCAATGTAAACCTGGTCATTATTTACAAATTGAAATGATATAAAATGTATACTTTTTGTTTAAGAGAAATTTCTCATGGCTTCAGTTTCAGATATGTGGTTTTTTCTTTATTCTTGCTTGACTGGTACTTTGTTAGTCCTCATTTTTTTTATTTTTTATTTTTTAAAATTGTATTGCTAGATTATTAGTAGAAAAATTGAACTTTTGTTGTTTTTTTTTGTTTTTTTTTTATTTATTAATTTTTTTTGTTTTTTTATTTATTTATTTTATTTATTTATTTTTTTTTTTTTTTTTTTATTTTTTTTTTTTTTATTTATTTTTTTTTTTTTTTTTCCTGACCTACTAATAGCATTTACTTTAATATACTAATTTCATATTCTCTTTATTTTTCAATAACTTTATGAATGTGTTTTCATTAGAAGTTGACAGGTAAACCATTATTAAATTCAATAAAAACTTATTTTTTAACTGCTCAAAAGCCTTTTCATTCTTTTTTTTTTTTTTTTTTTTTTCTTAAATTAAAATCAAACATAATATTGATGTCTCAAAATAAATCTGAAAATAAAAAGGAAAAATTACTTTCAGTTAATTTATTTTGACACACTTCTATTTATTGGTAGATTTTTTTTTTTATTGTTGCTGAATTTTTCCTCTGTTGATGACTAATTTATTTGAAGTGGACCATCTCAGTAACCAATCTAAAACCATTTTGCATTGCTTTTGTATTACAGAATTAATTCTCTTGGTCCTGCATATTTTCATAATGAAGATGGCAGTTCACTTGGTGCGTAAACTAATAATTTTGCTTTTAATGTATTTGACTGATTTTATCATTTTTGCAAAGAATTATTCATTCCTGAAAAAATATTCTAAATACCTCCTCTTAAATATTGTCAGTTTTCATTTTTGTTTTTTTTCTATAGTTTGTCATTATTTAGATGACTATTTTTATATCAATTCAACTAATGGAGGAATGTTAGCTATCATCTGTTAGATAAATGTGACCATTTCTAAAGAAATAGCCGTAATCAAAGATTTTCTGAGAAAAGTAACTTTACCTTCTTGCTGAAGTGTATTTCATAATTTCTTCTGTATCAAAGTTGTTATATTAAACTAACTGAATAAGTTTTCATAAAAATCTTATTCCAATTTTTGATGGGTAAGAAAAAATAGTTTTAGTTGAAAGTTGTTAGGTGAAAATTATATATATGCACAACCAATTTTAATTTTTGCTTTCTACTTTCACCCCCAATTGTAGTTGGCTTTGGATTTTGGTTGACAGTTATGAAAATATTAACATGAAATATAAAATATTTAAAAAAAATAAGGTTGGAGAAATAAATTAAGATTTAATGTGTAGCAATAACAAAAGATTTGAACTGGATTGGTGGACTATATTTTGTATTCCTATTTAAAGTATACTTTGGTATAAATTACAAATTTTGATTGACTTTATTTAATAAATGTTTGTTTTTTCTTTCTTTTTTAAGTCCAGTGTAGTTTTGGTTTGACGTATGAATATTTACATAAATATTATCTAGATTAACACTTAACACACTCATTTGTAGTGATAACATTTTTGACTGAACTGTTTAGAAATATTTGTGTAGTAAGATTGTTTGAATTGTAAAGCAGGAAACTATAACCATTTATAGCAGAATGACATGCTGTCTGGTGGAAAATGAAGCAAGTTAAAATTGTTATAGTTTTGAATAAGTATGTTTGTGTGTTATATAGATAAAGTAGGAAGATAATTTATCTTTTAAAGCTTTGTTCTTTCTTTGATGTTAAAGAAACTTCTGAATGTTTAGCATCTATTAATTATGATCATAAAAACAGGGAGTAAATAACGCCATGCCTAACATACAATTGTTAAAACACCTAAAGGTTTTCTTCAAAAAGGTTAATATGGAAATATTTTCGAAGCTGTTAAATATATCAGAATGTTAACTTGACAAAAGTTGTATTCAAAAAATTTGAAAAGGTTACATTTGGTTAAGAGTGAATTTTCATTTATATAAAATGTCAGTAATTTCTATATGATTTTTGTCATTAAGCATTATATATATATATATATATATATATATATATATATATATATATACACACACACACTTGTTCTTAGAAATATTTTATTTATTACACTAACATTTAACATATAATCCAAGCAAAATGTTATGTTCACAAAGCAAAAGGTGTTAGCCTGATGGAATATTGAAAATGTTTAAATTTATTTTCTGCAAATTTTGTTATGAGAAGTTTTCTTCAACCTTTATTGCATTATGATGATTTATAGTATATGATATTAGCATTTTATTTTTGAAACAAGTATTAACTATCAAAAATTCCTTTTCACTTCATCTTAATTATAATAGAAAAAATAGCTATGAACTGAGTATCTCTTTAAATCTAGCAAAATTAGTTATGTTTGGATCAAATTGCAATTAGATCCATTTCTAAGAATTCTTTACTTTATACAAAACTTATACAACTATATAAGTTAATGATTTTCAGAATCTTCTCTTGAGTCATTTTACTTGAAAAATATATCAATTAAAATACAAAATAAGTAAAAAAAAAAAAATAAACTTCCATGATTTTCTTGATATTTTAATTATCTAATTTCTTTCTATTTGTGTTTCCAATTTCTCATTTGTGCCTTCTGTAATTTGTTATACACAATATGATGCTTTCCTTTGTTATTCTATTTACAAAATAAAAAAAAAATCTTTTTGGTTTTCTACTCTAATTCCTGCCCTTGCTATCAAGTTTAAAATTTTATGATTTCTGGTGACTGTAGACAAGTGACAAGTGTTTTTTTTTGTTTTTGTTTTTTTTTTTGTTTTTTTGTTATCCAGTCTCATCACTTAAAATATGTTTGTTGACTTGAAGGTCTTTTTCAAAGTGGACAACAAAATGAGAAAATAAGAATTCATATTTTCTTTTAAGTATTATAAGAATGAATTAAGTTTAGCATCCACAAAACTAAATTCAATATATAAATGCATATAAAACATATATATCATACTCAAAATTTTTTAATTCTAATTCTTTGAATCTTCTATTAAAGTTCTTATAATTATTAAAAAATAAACTGATACTTATTTAATTATAGTTTTACTTAAAAATTGTTTTCAGAAGATTTTTTTAAAAATTGGCAAGAATATGGTTTGATCCTAATATTAACCCAGAGTATCCAAGGTGACACTTTTAGAAAAATAAAACTCTTATGTCTCTTAAATTCCTGTCAGTTCTAATCCAAATTATTACTCTAGAGGGATAAAATATAACATTTAAATCATAATTATTTTATACTAAGAAATTATTCAGTATCCCAGCTTAATTTGTGTTCCTTGTGTACAATGGATTAAGGTAAATTTGTGGAAAGTTTGACACATGAACAGTTAGAAGAAAGATAACATTTTCCTCCATTGTTTTTGACAGTATCTTAAAACTTGATCATTTTTTTTTCTATTTTTGTTTTCATTTTTTTTTGTCTGCAGAAGATAATACCACAGAAGGTAATGGTATTTGCTATTTCTGAGATTACACTAATTTTGAAAAAACTTCTCTTTCATGCCTAATTCTTCCTTTTTTTTATTTCTCAAAATGCCAATGTATGTGCTATTGATTTTTTTCCCTTTTTCTACTGAACCACTCTAAAATAACCAGCTCTCATGTAACAGGAGTACAGCTATCAAACACCTTTCAAAACAGATTAATAAACACTTCTTCAGACTGGTCTACTTATTTATATTTTGTTTTTATAACATTTCTATCAAATGGGGTGAGTTACAAAGTTATGCAATAGAAATTCAAAAAGCTGAAGTTTCTGTTTACATGCAATACTGTAAAGTAGTGACATTCAAATCTGAGCTACATGTTCATATACACTGTCATGCAATTGGCAAATATATTTGCTCAGTAAGAGCATTAACATTATCCATGTAGTTTGTTTATTCAAGTGTCATCACTGGACATTTGTTTAATATTCATTTTGAAATGTACATCTATAACATCAAATACTTTGAAACACTTTTAATGTCTCCAATTTGTATTCTTGAATTTTCTTTTAAATGAAAATATATCTTATTCTCTGATTGACTACAGTGTTCTCATTAAAAGTAGTTCTTTTATGATTGATTTTTGAACATTTATGAAGAAAATATAGAATAGAATGGATAAATTGTTTTTCATAAATGGATCAGTCTGAAGAAACCTTTTGATTTGGGTGATTTTTTTTTTTTTTTTTTTTTTAAATTAACATTTTACCTTTTGGAGAAGCAGAATTGTCATAATTCTTGATATTTACAAGATCAATGCAGGATCATAATACTTGATTTCTAAAATAATTTTAAATGCTATCATGTTGCTGAAATTTTGTATAATCAAAAAGCACTATAAGAAATAATTAAATATCAGGTACTCACAATTTTGTGATTATTTAACCCCATCCCTTCCTTATGTAATACACTTCTCAGCCCTCCATGACATGATGTGTGCAAGGTGAAAATGCTATGGACAGGTGATTCTGCAATATGATAGCAATTTTATCTTCAAAAGTAAATGACAAGAAAGGCTATTAAAATATACAATAAGTATAAAATAAAAACAAATATAGATTTAATTATTGATGCCTAAAAATATATGCTGTTCTTGTTTCATTTATATAAACTGAAAAGATGTGAATCATTTTAGTGCAATTTAGTTACTGTCATCATGCTTTAATATTTATGGTTGCCAATGTGCTTTCTCTGTATAAGCAAAGTGTCTTGAACTTTTCCTTTTTGTATTATATTCTTTTTTTAGTCTGCTTTTTATAGCTTTTCTTTATTAGGTTGATTTGGAGATCACATTTTATCTTTCTTACCCTCTTGCTATTCAGTTGGTTTTGGAAAAAAAGCTACCTGTCTTTTTAAAGATTTAATTTCTTTTCCTAATTTTCATTATTTTTTTTTTTATCTTTTTAGTGTCTATTCATGTGATGCCTTGTGATCATCACTATCAGCCAGTATTACTTGGATTGTGTATTTTATAAATATGGCACGATGATCATGATAGGCTTAAAAGTAGATCTCTTAATATTATTCTGCTTCAGAAATGGAAATGTTAAGACTTTCAATTTTCTATGCACTAACAAAATCGCTATCTACTTTGTTGCTTGTAGTATATCTATTATTAGTAAAGTATATGTCACTTCACTTCTGTGAAAAACTAAGCCTGACTTCAACTAAACCGCTTGAAATCTTACTATAGAACATGCCACTCTGTAACGACTCTACTAGTTATGCCCCTTGCACTGGTTTCGCTTTTGCAGGGTAGGTAACTCGGCCGATGTTTTTAAATCTGGTAGGTTGACTGACTCCCTGAAAGTGTAAAGTATAACAATAATAATTAGAAAAATTATTTATAGTGCATAAACTAGTGTTTTTTTTTTTGTTTTGTTTGTTGGTAAATTATTTTCAGGATTAATTTTGAAAAAAAAAACCTAAGACAAAAAAGAAATATTACATATTGCTTTTAAACATCTTATTTAAAATAAGTCTGTATTTTTCCCCCAATTTTTTTTTTCTAAACCTTTTTCAAATCATTTGAAATATCTTCAATAAAAAAAAATTTATTTTATTTATGTTTAGAAATTATATAATTAGTTATAAAGCATACAGAAAAGCAAAGCATTAATCCTACATGGTGTGTGTATATATATATATATATTGAGTGAATGAATCCATATATTGAAATATATATAATCTCAAATAACATGGATACTTTTAACTGATTATTATTATTTGCAGCATAATTTAAAATCATTGGCTTAAGTGGATGGGGGATTATTTTCTTTTGACTCAATAACATCAGTGGTTGATTTGGAGATCACATTTTCTTACTTACCCTCTTGCTCTTCAGTTGTTTTTTTTTCTTTTTTTTTTTTTTAAAGAAGCTATCTGTCCTTCTCTTGCAGTCTTGATTTCTTTTCCTTTTCCATCTCTAATTTTTACAAAATACTCTCTCTGTCTTCATTTATCCACTATTGCTTCATGGATGTTAGAACATGCTCCTTTGTATTTGTGAATAGTTTCTTTTACATCCTTTTTTCAACCATCTTTTTAACTTACCATTCACTGCCTTCTATTGGTACAAATAATATATTTTGTGTTATAAAATATAAGAAATTTATTCATTACTTAAAGGTTTGTAAAAATGAATTTTTAAATCCAGAAAATTGCTTTAAAGGACAAGGAAACTAATTTTTATACAAATAGCCTATAGATATTAAATAAACTTTTGCATCTAATGAGATGCAAAAGACATAACTCTGTTTTTTGTTCTATGTGATCTGTTTTAAAGTAATTTCATGTGATTATACTGAAAAAATTAGCTATAAAACTATTCTTGAGAAAGATCAGATAGTTTGAAAGATTACATTTTGTCTTTTCCCTACAATATCAGGTAGTAATTTAATTGAATATGTTTTATCGTTTACTTAAAATGTTACTTTGAGAGAGATAAAATAATATTCGCAATATTGACTACTTTTCTGAATTTATTTGATTTGGTGATTATTTCATGAAGCATCCTAATGTTTTAGTAATGTTTTCATTTTTTTAAGCAATTGTGTATAAATATAAATTTATACTTCAATAAAAAGTGAAATATAAATACACATAACCATGAAAAGTAAATATGAACTACAAAACTAATACTTATGTACATTTGTGTATACAAAATTTATATATTTAAAAAATTGTTCAGATTAGTGTACTCATATTCCACTTGAATTTCACATTTACTCATCAATGATACTTATTTTTTTTTATATTATGAATATTGTTTATAGCTACTCTTAAGTATTATATTTTAGTTTTATGATCATAACTATTTCAGGATGTTTTTATTACATTGATCCTTATCAATAATTAGCAGCATTTACTAATCTTATATATTTAATGCAGAATTACTTTTTTTTTAAATATATTTTATGATTTATAGAATTTTATTATAAATTTATAAGTATCGTTAACTTCACTACAGATTTTTTCCTTACATTATCTTGTTACATTTTAAACATTATTTTGGGATTGTCTCCAAATGCTGTCATGTTATCTATATGCTGCTTACAGTCACTCACTCTTTTCATTATCTGTGTGCTTCTCAGCCATTTTAAAATAATTTTACAAATGAATCTTTTGTTGCAGATTTTAATAAATGTTGTATTTTTTATGCATGAAGACTTTGTAAGATATGTTTTATAAATCAGTTCAGCTCTCGTAATCCCCTGACGAAAATAATCACTTTTCTCTTTTTCTTTATTTTGAAAGTTTCTTTTATTGATATTAAATAAGTTCAAATAGTTTGACATTAGAGAACTATTCAAAATAATTTTTACTTAAAAAAAACAAAAACAAAGGAAGATTTTTATAAAAGGTTTTTAATTTGTCCAAATTTATTAGATTAAGCATTTTCATTAATTTTTTACTAGTTTCACAAAGATACAAACAAATTTTAAAATTAATGATTATGTAAATAATAAAACAGTGATGATAAGCATAATTTGTCATAAAAATAATATAAAATATGTAATTCTTTATAATCATAAATCTATGATAATTTTATTCTTTTTTTCTATTCATTGTTTTATAATTCAAATCTTTTTTCTATTTAATGACAATTGGCTTTAAATGTTTTATTCAAAATAAATGTGGGGTTCACTTATGAATCCATCTAATTCTCCTTGCATTAACTGATAATAATAATCGAAATATTAATTTTTTTTTTTTTTTTTTTTTTTATTAAAAAAAATCATCTTTTAAAAGTGACACATTTCTTATAAACAAGGGAACAATTGGTCACTAAAATCGGATTTTTACAGTAAAAATATGCTCTCATAATTCCATGTTATTTTATATGTGCTAAGTATTTAAGCGAGGGTAAAATTACTAAACAATTTTTTTTTTCTCAAGGTGAAAAGTTTTAACTGCAAAGTTGATAATGCATAAAGAGAAATTTATAATTGTATATGTAAATTTTATGAAGTCTGTTTTTTTTGTTTTTTTCTAAACTTTTTCTTTGTGTTTCCACTTTAACAAAAGTAAATGTATGAAGATTGCCATTGCTGCCAAGTTATACTACAAGGGAGGTAACTAATTTATATTTGTGGTGTTCTTAGTGAGATGCACGTGGTATTTGGTGCCTGACCACCATCTTTGCAGTTTATGTCCTTATATGAGCAAACTAGATAGTACACCATGAAAAATATGAATATGCAAATAAATTTTAGTATAAGATTATATGGTATTGATAATAATAAAAATTAAAATATAGGATCAGCAAATATGTATCCTGCTTTAACTACAAAAGTTCCTTTTTTTTTTTTTTTTTTTTTTTTTTTTTTTTTTTTTTTTTTTTTTTTTTTTTTTTTCTTTTGTCAAAGACAAGCACAAATAATTTATCTTATTAACTATTCACTGAGACTTTGAATTTAACTTGCTAAACATAACACACATAAGAATAAAGACTTACAAATAATTTCCTTTTAACTTGTTGCACTAAAGAGTTTAAACAATATCTTATAACTTAGTTAAAAATAATTTATGATCTCAAAAATGCTTTATTTCCAATAACGCCACTTAAATATTCCTTGTGTGTTGACTTTCGCAGATGGCAGCATTTTATCTGCAGATAAATACTACGGTGTTACTGGTCGTGTAATCCAAGGACGCCATCTCATGTTGTTGGATGGAGAAGTTTATTGCAAGGTCAGATTGCAAATGTAAGTATGTCAAGTATTTGCAGTTTTCAATGCAACATTGCATGATTGAAGAAATCAGTTGATTCCTGATTACCCATGCTAGAATAACGTCCAAATAATCAATATTGATGGAAATTGAGAAAATTAAGAGCAGCAGCATAATGAAAAAAAAGGATAAATCAGGTTGTTTAGTATTTATTTACTCGGCTAAGAAAAAAAACATTGTGTGCATCTGCATGTTAAAAATATAGTCGCATGCATTACCATTCTTAACAACCTATATGATGTATTTCCTATATAACATGCATTGTTGGAAGAGGAGTTGATCAGTATATTTACTACCATTTCCAGGATAGGGGAATTGACTTTTTTCTCCCTTATAGATTGTACACCTGGAAAAGGATGTAGAATGGAAGTTAGTGCATATCACATATAACAAAGGAAACTGTGGAGAACCATAATCACTTATGTCCCAAAGGAACAGCATTTAAAGATAATGTCTAAAGATTAAAGACAAAGAAATCAACTTAGTATCATGTCTGTTAGCTTTGCTCTTTCTGTTATAACCAAAAGCTGATGTCTTGTCCCATACTTTGTTTTGCAAATTATACACTATTATTATTTTTGTTATTCTAGTCATCATTCAAGTAATCGAACCAAATTACGATCAGCTGGACGAATTCTTGCCCGATCTGCTACAGTTAAGGCTCAATTAGAGCCGATCTTTGATCTGTCTTTTGAGGTGAGTTGCCATAAGTGACTATTTCATTATTTGCAATATACAGATAACTTCAAAAACCAAACAAGTAGTTTTTACAATGATTATAAATCCTATTATTGAAAATTCAAAATGTAATTTCATTGATGTATACATACAAAAAATGAATTTTATATATTTAATATTTTACCTTGAAAACATTTTGATAATCTAATTTCACTGATGATGGTGTCGTTTGTCTTTTCTAATATTGGTACTTAGATGTCTCGAATGCAAAGTTATAAACTAAAATTACCATGTGAAATATTTAATGCCTCTCCAAATCTTTTATTATATGTTTGACTTGAGTGATACTTATTTAATATCAATTTAAAATATCACAAAATGATTTTTAACATATTGGGTTTCACTAGTAAGTAATTAAGACAATATATATTTATATCAAATATTTAAATAACTAAACCGAAGCAATCATTGAGATATGTATATTGGTCTCTTTATTCCAGGTTGACCGTGGAGCTGGAGTGTCTGCTGAGACATTACTCATCTTTGACATTAAGAAAGGAACAAAGGAACACCTTGCCACTAAAAGTTTTTCTCTACGGGAATTAATTGGAGGTCAGTCAGCAGTCACTTTTGGGGGAAGATTAAATAATTAAATTTTTGTCTACAAGGTTAATCTTATTAATAGAAATTTTAATTTTACAGAATACAACTTGCTAGATTTAAAAAAGCAAAACATTCTAATAAAAAAAAAATAATTTACTCATTTGGCTTAGTGTGGCAGGGGCGATATCACCCCAGAAATAATGATAATAAAGGAGGATATGCTGTAAGACAGAGGACGCTGGGTAATAGAGAGGTGTTTTCGTATAACCAAGATGTTAATATACTGTAAAGACTTTGAAACATAAATGTTGCAGAAAGTTAATTTAGAACACGAAATACAATCTTTTTGTAAGTGTAAAAAGGATATCAGATTACTAATAGAAAATTACTGGAACAATGATAATTTGGAACTTTTAAACAAATAAATGGATTTTGACACTATAAGAATCAAAGTTAAAATAAAGGATGTTTAGATCTAAATTTATTTTTTTAAACAAGACTCTCTGTAGTTTACAAAGAGCAGCAGAGTGGTTGATAGTGAAGTGATAAACAATAGCATCTTGTTGTGAACCTTGAAAATTAATCAATGAAAAAGTAAATTGTTTATTTTCGGAGGAGTGAAGTTGTACTTTGGTATGTCAGTATGTTTGAACTAGAAAAACAAACACGTCACCCGTCTGGGACGTGAGTGGGTTCTCTTAATAAAGAGGCGAGCGAACTGAGTAGAGTGTTTTCGGCTTGTCTATCTTTGAATGCAGTCGAACTGAGTGGAGAGACGTCGGAGATTGAAAAGGAAGCATCCACTGTGTGTTGCTGAAGCCGAAGAAGCGAAATACCACCACTAACATCTAAGTACTGCTACTACTAATATTACTACTGAGAACAGGAACATCGAAGGTTGTTGTAGTTGTGCTAAGAACAGACCAAAAACAGTTAAAATGAAGGACACATCTCTCCTTTTACCGAAATTATTCGAAGTATTTGTTTTGTTTGATTATTGTTCACATACAAGAACATTCAACCTCATGCAACAAGAATTATTTTTTTGTGTGTGTTTACTTTTATATATAAAAAAAACTTTTGTCCTTTCAATACTTTTCAACTTGGTTATATTTATTTTTCTATTAACCTGATTCTCACCTGACAAACTCGCAGGTGGACCAACAGAGAGCTTCCGGATTTCCACAATCTGATGATCACTCTCCAAGATCAAAACAATCACAATGTGGCTGGAGGGTGGCTTCAAATTGACATTGGGAACTGGAGACTTGTCTAACTTGTAATACTGGACCATACCGGACCAACAGCTGGTCTTGTGGAGTGTATGGTTCCAGTGGGGTGAGGATACAGTGTTACATTAGTGGTTAGTTCAACAGAATGTCTCCTGAGAGGTCTAAAAGCTTTATCAAAATGCTGTACTCTAACTTTATGTAAAAAAGACAAATGTTGTAATTTTCACAGAATATTTTAGTATATAAGCTTTTGTCTGATCAACAACAATCTATAGAATAGGCTTGGAAGTGTGTTAATGTCTTTTCTTTTTTTACTATTTATGGGATGGAGCTGAATCAAAAAATAAAAAAATTTAAAAATCATGAAAACAAATTACTATTTTTGATACATATAAGATCAGCAATTTATATATCCTAGCTCATATACACAACTATATTCCTCCACTCACTTTTTGTGCTGTTAATTTAGAATATCTAAAATTTACTTTAGATAAAAGAATTCAAATATCTAATTAGGCAAAGTGCAGCAAGTATCATAGTTAAAAATAGAATTATTAATTTTGTAGATTATCCAACATATGTTTTCCATTATAAATAAATTTGGTGACACACTGGAGGTGCCTCCCATAAATAATCTGGATTTCATCAATTGAGAAAAAAATACCTCATGATAAACACTTTTTAATTGTTTAATGGAATCACTGTCATGATCCAAGTGACCAACTGATTTGAGAGGTATCGTAAATTTAGTTTTTGTATAAGGTCAATTTAATTTCTGAATGTTTAGTTTTCTTCACTTTATAAAAGGCTGACCAGAGATAGTTTTATTGAAATTTATTTTATGAAATACCTCACATATAGGAGTATAAAATTATCTTGTTAAAAAATGGCAACAAAGCCCATTTTGTCTTCTATTCTAAGAATAATAATCAGCTTTCCTAATTTCCCATTTTTTTTTAATATTTTTTTTTCTTTGCTTTGTATTTCTAGATAACGACACAGGGAATGTACGGAAATGGTTGACCCTGAACAACAACATTGAACTAGAAGTAGAACTCTCACATGGGAAGACAGACATTAATCATCACAAAAAACATGGCATATTTCGAAACTTCTCATTTCGTAAGGACAAACAGCATTAAAAGAAACAACACTGTCACTTCTAAAGTCAGATACCTCACTTTGAAGCTGTGTAACAAACATCATTTCTACTTGCCTTTTTGTACATTTTGGTTTAAAGTTCTCATAAATTGTTCTCTCTCTCTCTTGTTCATTCTTTTGATTTCTGAAAGTAATGAGGGAATTTAATTGTTGACAGTTTGGCCTTTGATTAGTAATGTTATGTATTCTGTTGATCTTGGTTAATCACATCATGCATTTTGCCTATGCTTTATTGGAAGCTCAGGCAAGTGACATAGCAAAGTTTGGCTGTTATTACCACTTACAATTAACATAATTTTAGTAGAGTAGTGTTTTCCTGTTATTTATTTATTTACTTGTTCATTAACTGGAAGTGTTTCATTGGCACCTGCATAAATGTTAATCCTTTAAAAAGTCTTGTTTACTTCAATTATTCTTCAAATTTATTTCAATGAAATTAAAAACAATTGACATAAATAACCTGATTTTTTTTTCTATTTGAACTTTTAATTCCATAAAATCTTTTTTGTAATCAACACAAAATATTTCTTAAAATCTCATTTAAAATTTCAATGTGCAAAAACAAACCAAACTGAGTTTGAACAATTTCATTACTACTTCTTATGCAAAGCAATTTAAAATATTAATGTAAAATGCAAGTTTGTTTCTTTTTTCTTTTAAATTTGAAACAACAGCTTGAAATTGTTATAATTCTACATACTTCTTTTATTAATAAAGTAAATATTAACATTATTGCACCGTTCTTTCAGTCTTTTTACAGCCTCTCTTCATAAAACATCTAAAACAATCAGCCTTATATCTTTTCACTGATGACATTAGTACAATGGAGATAATTCTAGTTCAGCAAAAAGTAAAATATTGGACAACCACTTGACGACTCCTTGTTACTAAGTGGTAATTTCAGCATAACCAGGCATTATAAATCTAAGGCAATCCCTCAGATCTAGAAGAAAAAAGTTATTTGTAACCAGTGGTCATAATCTGTGTATTTGTATGTTTTAATTTCTTCATTCCTTGAGATCTGAAAACTGGCTTAATTTCAACTAATACAATGTAATTTTCCTTTGTTAATACTGATTGATTTCAAATTAACATTTTAAAAAGATGAAAGAATTTTATTGATACCTGAGTTATTGTTAACAAAGCTAGCAGTTTTATGAATCATTTTGAAAACTAAACTCTGGTGCTCAACACATTCTCTCTTCTATATTAAGCATAATCAATAAGTATATCTGTCAGCATTTGAAATTTTTCCTATCAATATATGAATTAAATTTCTAATTGAAAAAATTTTGAACAATGAAGTCTTCAAATCTGTGAAAAAAGGTTAAAATAACAATATCAATGTTAATTTTATAACATAACAAATCAGTTGTACTATATTCAAGTGACAGAACTACATCAAAGTGTTAACCTCTTCCAAAATAACGTTATCAGAATGGGTCTCTAAGCTTATCAGAGCATGTGCTGTATCAACTAAAAATATTTGGGGACATTGTGAAATCAAGGATTTGAAAATGTTTCCAAATAATTCTTAAGATGAATTTTTATAACTAAACTTTTAATTAACATTTTTGAATATTTGGAATCTTTTTTGTTTAAACTTTAATTATGATCAAACATGAAGCCATAAACACAGAAAATCAAATAACATTCAAAATGCTTTGAGTTAAAATCTCAATTCTGAATAAGCAAAATTTCAATGAATGTTGAACATGCTTCCTTTTCAAATACCATACAATAAGCATGGAGTTTCATTCTCTGTTTTTGCATGTTGAATTTTTATTCAAGCATGCTGATGAAGTCATTGAAAAACTGGCAATTTGGTTATTTTTATAAAGCTTATAGATTAGAACTATTCTTTTGATGGTAATGCAAATTTATTACCATTATTTTGCATGGTGCCTATGCCAAGTTTATTGATTTCTACAAATAGTAAATATTCCTGAATTGCTACATTTTCTCAGGTATAGAAACTGTTTTGGATTCACATGTTAAATTGGAAGATTCTTTAGACTAAGAATTTTGTTTACAGCCAAACATCTGTCTTGTGGATTGCAACAAAAACTCCATTTACAGCGATGAAGTATCTTCTGTCTACAGCCAATTATATTGCAAAGTAATTGAAAAATCAATTTACATGTCATCAACTTTGTAATTTAAAGGTTCCAACTTTCAGCAAGTCATGTTGAATAAACACGTTTTTGGAGCCAATCAAATATTTTCACTAAATTCTATTATATCAGTAAAACTTCTCCAAAAGAAGTGTTTTGTTAGTTTCAATAGAAGTGATAACTTTATTGCTAGTTTTATCTAAATGTCAAGGTGAATTTTACCTCTAACCCAAAACAAGTTGTTTTTTTTTTGTTTTTTTTAAACTAATGTTGGGTTGTTACTACAGTGTTACATTTACAATACATTTTTGTTAATTTACATTTTTAAAAAAATGTCTTTACATTTCTTGCTTTTTTTCTTAGGCTAGATACCTTGCCATTGAATAGAAGTTATCAAGTTAGTATTATGAACTATTACTACTGTTGTCCCTAGGTGCTGAGACTAAGCTATATTTAAAGTTTTTTTTTTTTTTTTTTTAAATACCTGAAATATGACTGCTACAGTGTCTTAGAACTTAATTCAAATTGTAATGTATTTGGTTCTGACAAGTATTTTAAATTAACTATAAAAGTTTAAATTAAGCTGAATTTCTTAATCTTAAGGATTTATGAAGAAGGGAATATTTTCAGTCAAAGCAAAATAACTGCGCAGGGTAATTATCCAGTGTCTTCCACTGTAGTTAATTTATTTTTTTGCTTTGATATAAAATTATCAAATTTTTTTTTATTTCAAAATTGTTTTTTCATGTTGCTGACTTTGAACATTTAAGTAAATTTCATAAAATAATCTACCAAAATTTGAATTGGGCCTTTCATTTTACAAAAGTCTTCAAAATATAAAAAAAATCATTCAACTGAAATTTGGCTTTTTTTTTTCTTTTTTTTTTTTTTCTTTTTTTTTTTAAACAATATTATCTTTTCAAGGCTTTTAACAAATTTTTAATAGTTTTTTTTATAAGAATAAAAATATTTAATGACTTTATAACACTTTAAATTATCCTTGTCATGCTACATTGTTGAGATATTATTCTGACTTATGTGATAGGGTTGTGTGTTTGGACCACATAACCACATTCCCTGGAACTGTTTTGTAGAAAAGTTGCCAGTTGATTTTCAATATATTTTCTTGTTTTATTAAAAAAAAAATTGTATCTTTTTCTATCAAAGGCATTTTGGAAAAATTACTTAATTCTTTTTAACAACAGTTCACTTGAAGTATTTCTAAAAATTCATAGTTTGTTTTGCATTTATTATATCTGTAACAAGCTGTTAAAAATTACTGCATATTTTATTCCAAAGAAATGTATTCAAATAATTTTTTTAAAATGCATTTTCACATCTGCTCAACCATTTTCAATAATTGTGTATGCATGAAAGTTATTTGCTTAACAGTATGTGATATGTGTGGAACAGTCACATAACACAAGATATTCCAGGAATAAAAAATGTATATATACAAAGTAATGCAAGTTGGTTGAAATAGTGGCTTTTGATCATGAAGCTTGAAGTGTTTTGGCTGTACTAAATCTACCACTTAAAATATGAGTCATCAAAAAAGTAAATTTTGTATGACATTTAAATTTAAGCTTAATTATTGGCATTTTCTTAGTTATGTACCAAAAAATATTTTATATCTTAAAATTAAAAAAATCCTTTAAATAATATAGATTTAATTATACTATGTGAAATGTTATTATTGGCCATATATTGGTCAAAGGATAATATTTTAATTAATATTTGAAAATACTTTAAACTGATTTTTGTTTTTCTATTTATATATTTCTTTCCAATTCATCAAAATTCTATGAAAAATTAATTTAAATTTGTAAAGATTAAATTATTTTCCTTTTTATAAAAAATAATTCCTGACATCTTTTTCACTAATAAATATTGCGTAATGGTCAAATGCCTGTTAGATTTTATGTTTTTTAATGATGACTGCATTTTTATCACTTCTCTTAATCCTTGGGGAAGGCAACAGGTACTTTTTTTTTATATATAAACAAAGCAAAACAATCATTAACATAAATTCATTTTTAATTTTACTCTCCACCTGTTATTTTGTTTACCAATCACTTGTTAAAAATGCAGAAGAAAAAATATTTTGATAATTTGTTGCCTTTTATTTCATTTTTTTCTTTTCTTTTTTTTTCTTTTTTTTTTAAGTTGTTGCTTTGGAGAATTTCTGTTTAAATTTTTCTTGCAAAAACAATTATGGCAGCACTGCAAACAGCAGAAACAAAAACTCAGCAATATATTGAAATACTATAACACTATTATATAACTGAAATCCTTACATTGTTTTCTTATTTGTTTCCACTCTTCATTGTAAACCATTTTCATCTTTGTTCAAATATTGAGCACCCAACTGATTCATTTTATTTTTGGGAATTGAGATGGAAAAATGTATTGTCTTTAAGATTTTGTAAGTAATAAAAACCATTTCTTGCCTCATGTTGTAATAATGAAATTATCAAAATAGAGATATGAGATAAACTGTTAAAGGTATTACTCCAACCAAGTGGTTAAAAATAACATAAGACTGATTAAAACCTATATTTGTAGTATTAGTAGATACATAATCATTAGTGTTTGTGCTTGTTAGCACATTGTCAGTGTTAATATTAAATATTGTTGGATATCTTATTTTCATCAATGTTAGTACTGATCAGTACCTATTACTAACAATGATATGTGTATTAAATTACTATAAAATAAGTTTTTAATTTTCATGATTATCAGATATTATGGCAGATTATTCCAGAATGATCTACCAGTATCAAGAAACAAGTAAAATTTTAAGTTTTACTGGGTTTTTTTTATTGTCCAACATTATGAAATACAGTTTACTATTTATTATATGAAAA